TTTACTTATAGCTATAAAAAAGCTATACTTAATATATAGCTATTTAATAATTAGCAATACTCTTTAAAAAGCATTAAAAAAGTATTAATATTTTAAGATTATTTTTATTATTTAATAAGTTATTATTAAGTATATAAAGTATTAATTAATAAAAGTACTTAACTTAACATTACTTAACTTTAATCTTATTACATTATTAGCTTTATTAATAAGATAAGCTATTAACTTTATATTAATTAATAATATATTAATTTTAATAGCTATTAAATATATTATTAAATAAATTAAAGTAAAAATTATATTAAATTAATAATTTAAAAGTACTTTTTTATTGCTAAATAAGATTATTAATATCTTTAGCATACTTAATAAATAAATCTTTAATAATATTAATTGCTTTGCTAATAAAGCTGCCCTAGCTTAATATCGCTAATATAAATTAAAGCTATGCTTAATTATATTAATTAAGCTAAAAAGCATTAATAAAGTTAAAAAGGCTAATAAAGACTTAAAGTATATAATCTTATAAAAATAGCTAATTAACTTAAATTAAGATATTTAAGCTTTAATATAGTAAGTAATTATATTATATAATTAAATCCTAAAGTTAAATAAATATAACTCTTATTTCCTTTTCCTTAATATATCGCTATCTTTAAGGTGCAAACCTTATATTACCTATATATAAAAATTTATAAAGTAAGAAAATAATAACTTTATAAAGCAATTAATTAAAAAATATAAGGCTTTATTAATATAAAATTATGCTATAAGGCTAAAAGCCTTTTATAATTAAATTTAAATATTTCTTTAAAAGAATAAGGCATTATTATATATATTTATTTTTAATAATTAAGTTTTATAAATATATTAATATACCCATAAGCATAAGCCTTATTATAATAATCCTTAAGCCATTACTACTTATTATATTAATAATACTTATACTTTCCATAGCTTTAATAATATTATACTTAAAAATATATATAATAATATAAATTTCTTCTTAATATATATTATAAATAATTACTTTATTAAAAGCCTATAATATATTAATAAAATAATACTTTAGCATAACTATAATTAAATTACTTAGTTAATGCAACTTAATTAAGAATAAAAAGCAATAACTTATTAACTATTATTAACTACTTATTAATATTTTATTAACTTAATTAAATATTTTATTTTTAAGCAATTTACGCCTTTTATATTTAATTAATTAAAAGAAAAATAAAAAGGAAATTAGCTAAATTAAAAGTTAAATTTAAAACTTCCTTATTTAAAGAGTTATTTTTTAAAGGCTGCTATTCTTTTAATAAATCTCCGCAAAAGTGGTTAAATTAAAAGGCAAACTATTAAAATAAGTAAGAATGCGTTATTATTATATTATCTTATTATTTATTATAATAATAAAAAGAAATAATTATTTAATAAGGGCATAAATTAAATATTAAGTATATATCTTACTCTTTCTTATTAAAGGATATAATTTATATAATAAGATTAAGGATAATTTATTTAAAAAAGGGGATAATATAAATTTATAAATAATAGGCAAGCAGCTGCTTATATAAGCAGCGTTATAGCTTAAAATACTAAAGGCACTGCCCTTTAAGCATAATTAGCAATTAAGCAACTTATACATTTATATTATATAGTTTACAGCGTCCCTTGTGATTATTGCAGTGCTGTTTAGTGGGTTAAGTGCATAAAGAAGCATAATATTAATATTTTATAATATATATAGCTAATTTCCTTATATTAGGTGGGTTAATGTTAAAAGCTAGGTGGGCGTATTGTGAAAGCTGGGTGGGCGTATGCTGACTTGGTTAGAGCTAGTGTTTGAAGTTAACTTTCTGTCTTGCTTATACTTGGGGCAACAACAAGAAAGGAGAGAAGACAGAAAAGAGGATGTAGGTTTCAATATTAAATTGTGGATGAATGTATTTGAAGCTCATTTAAACCCCAGGGATGGCTCAAGTATTACTATCTGAAATATTTTTCCAATTGAACAAAAATGAGAATGCTCTGCAGCGCGAGCCTGATCATGGTCAAGTCTGCAGTCACACCACAAGCAGCCAAATCATCGCAGATCAGCATACCACCTCATTGAAAAAGGGTTGCTTTAATAGGGGCTAGTTGAGTTCCACCATTGAAAAGATATAGTTACGATTAACTATGTATTAACTACTTAGATCCCCAGCACTAAGTATGAAAGAAAAACGATATTTGCAGAGCAAAAAATAAATAATATAAAGGTACATATAGCCACTAGTACACAAATAACGCCAACTAATTTACTTATTTATTTTATACACCCACGCTTAATTTACACAACCAACTTACATACCAAGTTAACATATGCCTACCTAGCTTTTATAATATGCTTACTTAGCTTTTAATATTAACTTACTTAATACTTTCTTTTCTTAATATTATATTAATAAAATTAAGTACTTTTTTAAATTTACCTTATATATAAAAAGCTAAGGTAGCTATTTTTTAATTTAAGTAATACTTTAAAAATATAAGCTTAAAAAAGCCTAGAGCGCTTAGAAGCCCCTAGAGCGCCCAAAGCCCCCAGAGCCCCCAGAGGGCCCCAGAGCCCCCAGAGGGCGCCGAGGGTATATAGGGCGGCAAGGGTGTATAGGGCGGCAAAGGGCGCAGAGGGCGGCAGAGGGCGTAAAGGGCGGCAGAGGGCGTAAAGAGCGGCAGAGAGCGTAAAGGGTGGCAGAGAGCGTAAAGGGTGGCAGAGGGCATTAAGAGGGCAGAGGGCGCTAAGGGGGTAAAGAATAAAAAGGTAAAAGTAACTTTTAAGTTATAAATAAAGGGGTAGTTATAAAATCTTTTTAAAATAATTATAATTATATTTTATTAATAACTTTATAATATTAATATTTTATAATATATATAATTAATTTCCTTATATTAAATAGGTTAATATTAAAAGCTAAGTAAGCATATTATAAAAGCTAGGTAAGCATATGTTAACTCTTATATACTTAATTAATATACTTAACTTACATGCCTAACTCACATATCCAATTTATATACCTAATTTGCTTATTTAAATAGCCCTTAGTATATAAATAAGTCTTAAGTGTATGAATTAGGTGTGTGAATAGTGGGCTTTGATTAGCTATAATGGAGTTGTGCGGCTTAGGTAAGCAGCTTGCTCTGCGCCATCCGTTTTTTTTTTGCTCTGCGAATGGATGTTCTCTTCTTTAAGACTGGAGGCTGGTCACTTGACACCCTCCTCGATCTCTACTCTTCCCACCAGGCTGGACATGGTTAACCATCATCGTTAACTACTTGCACATTCCTCAGGTTGCACTCACCCGACAGCATTGCGTCGGGGTTATACTTGACAGCGGCCTAGTGGTGATTTTGGATGAGGAGACGAGCACAATGTCAGCCCTTCGGCACATTCCACTGGATCGCTCAACAAGACAGATACGCCTACTCAGCTTCCTTGAGCCAAACGAGGACACTGATCCCATACGCTGCCGTTTGGACACCTACGACCTGGAAGAGAGCCCGTCGTTCGTCGCTCTTTCATACACATGGGGCAATGCACATCCGTCTCGGACGATAAGCTTGAACGGAGAGGTATTCTCCGTGCGCCAAAACCTACACTCAGCTCTGTTGGTGCTGAGGGAAGATATGCTCAAGCATGGTGGTTGTTGGAATGATTTGTACTGGATTGATGCCATATGTATCAACCAGCAGGATGATTCGGAGCGGGGCCACCAAGTCAATATGATGGGAACCATATACTCTGAGGCTCGTTTTGTTCTAGTCTGGCTCGGCGCGGGATGTGCGATCTCGGACAGGGCGATGAGCACACTGATTGCCTATAGTGCTCCGCGAGAAGATTGGACGTGGTCACCACCGTGGAGGGATCTCAAACGCTTTATCACAGAGAGCGGAATCGTGGCAAGTGAATATTGGGAAAGGGTATGGGTAATTCAAGAATTCACCCTCGCCAAGGATCTATTCCTGCTGCGCGGAAATTACAGGTTATCTTGGAAAGATCTGAAGCATATCTTATATAAGATTGAAGATATTTCCCGATATGTGGTAATGTATCGCCTGGTGTATGTCAGGGCACGATGGGAGCAGGGGACCCCTCTTACAACCACAGAGACAACGTTGGATTCGTTGCTCAATTTCTTTTGGAGCAGTTGCAGCGATATCCGGGACAGGGTGTACGCTCTTCTACCATTGGTTCAAACGCAATCTGATGACTCGAAACCCCTTTACCCAGACTATACTATCTCACCACGGCAACTATACTACAGGGTGCTGGGCAATTTAAGGCAATCGCGGACATTGAGGGACACAGCCAACTGGATCGCGTTCAGGGCTTATCTTCGCATAATGTTGGCCATACCACGCGATGAAGACTTTGAAAGTAACGATTTTCTATACCAGGCTTCGGAATATGAACGGCCTCATCAAAAACCGTTGCTATCTTTACACCCTGGTCATCGAACTAAACTCAGTCACGCTTTCCTGAAAGATGTGGCTGACTACCTCCACTGGCCGCTTACCAATATGGACGGGGACCCTCAAAGCATATATAAAGAGGTTATCCAAAATTTCCGACGGTTTCCGAAGGAGGAGGACCCAGAAGCCTGGAACTGCTTTGACAGCCTGCTTCAAGAGGCTCTGGGTCTTTGCTCCATTACAAGCGAGGACTCAGAGATGTGGAATTTGTTTGTTGATTTCCCGGAATAGAGTGTTGTCGCAGGGGGTCAGGGCTGGGCTGGCCAACTGGATTCAATATTCTATCTTCGTTTAGTTTGTTGAAAAGTTGTACAGCCTTTGCTTTCCTCTTCTCTTAATTAGAATAGGATTATGTCTCATTTGCTCATCTTTTCCTCCCTTCCTGTTTCATTCAATGTCGCTCATTGCCACCACATTGCCCCCTGTGCTGCAGCCTGGTGTTGACCTCAAAATCGAATATCTAGATAGGAGGACTGCCACACCTGGTCATGATCCGCTCAGCCGGCCGCTTTCGCCTGCCCCTGGAGCGAGCCCGCTTCCACTATTTCCAACACAATGACATCGAGAGCCATGAGCTATTGACAGAAGCAGTTCCGCAGCTCGATTGCTACGAGGAGTCGACTCCCAACTCCGTCATGTTCGATTTGACTTCGAATTTGTCCGCCGCTCTGATTACGAAGCCGCTCAAGTCTGATCAAACGAGCTCTGTGAGCTCGAATACTTTTTCATTTTTGACCAGAATCTAGGGAGAAAATTTCGGCGCCTCCTACTACCGCCTCCAGTCCATTGCCGCCTTCTGCACAGCTCGTGGGATTGGAGCCCTCGTCGGTTTGCTCGAAACTTCTGTACAGGGCCATGCGAGGACCACGTTTCCAGGCAACCATGTTGCAAGCGAGGCATCCGACTGCATTGTCCGGCGGCACAGACAGAGCTGGCCTTTGCAGGTATAATGGGCGTCTATGACACCGACACTCTGGAGCTGGTTATCAGAGATCTTTCGCCGACTCCTGATTGCGATGATATCCTGGTCCAGTAGAAATTGGTTCTCAATGGCCCCTGTACAGCCCAATACTTTGGAGTTTTTGCTAACAGATCCGTCATCTTTTATAATTCCTAATTTGAATCTTCTGCATGTGCTATTCTCCTTACTCGCAGAACCCTTGACAGATCCTTGATTGGGTTGATAACATATGTGTAGCACCGAATTAATGCACTGCAGAGAGGGTTGAGACCATTGCTTATCCACTATTCAACAACCAACAACCAAGTGGATGTGACCATGCTGCGCCACCCCTCAGCCAATCAATTAACTCGTCTGAACACATTCAGCATCGGACTTTCCACTTCGAATTTTCCTCTGAACTCGTGCATCTGCAGACAGTTGTCCTGATTCCGCACCCCAAATTCTCGCCGCTATCTTGATAGAATCACAAGGACCATGGCAGGCTTGCCTTATCAATACGACAACCTGCCCACAGGTCGCTGGTTCCGAATTCTCAAAATCCACCCTGGTCAATTCGACGACCCTCTTAGCTGCGAACTCGTCGCCACGCCACTTGATGAAGCCCCTCAGTACAGAGCGCTTTCCTACGTGTGGGGAGACCCTGCAGACGTTGCACCAATCACTTGCTCGGGGGTCAAGAGAGAGATCACGGCGAGCCTCTTTGAGGGGCTTCGGCGGATAAGGGGCACGGATGCCGTGGAGATTGCCTGGGCCGACGCAATCTGCATCAACCAGGCCGACAACGAGGAGAAGTCATTCCAAGTGAACCAGATGGGTGATATATACGACAAGGCGGCCGAGGTTGTCGTCTGGCTAGGCCACGATATAGAAGGCGCGGCTGAGGTCGCTTTCAATGGGTTGCGCCAAATCAACAAGTCGATTCGAGAGGGAACGGACACAGCCTGGTCTCCTGCGTCAAAGGAGGAGTTTGACGTTGATGTTGGAAAGGTTAAACCGGAAACATATGGGCCAATGTGGGTCCAGCGGAGCAACCTGGACAATATGCTCACGTTGGATGTGTCGAACGCCATCATGAAACTCTATCAGCTTCCATGGTTCACAAGAGTTTGGATCTTGCAAGAGGTTGGCCTAGCCACAATCGCCACAGCATTCTGGGGCCCATCACACATCGATTTCCACGAGATTGCAGAGTTTATACTCTTTGCGATGACGTATAGTAACCTGGAGCAAGGTCTCCGTCAAGACATCAAGGATACCATATCTGGCTCACCATACTATGCCTTCCATAATGTGTGGTCCACATACGACAAGCAGAATTCTTGGGTCAGCCGGAGCCGCCCCCTCTCGTCACACGTTGTGTGGATGACAGATAACACCAAAATCGACTTCGTCCTTGTCCTCGAGGCTTCCAGGAGACTGAACGCCACAAATGATCTGGATCACGTGTTCGCGTTTCTGGGCCACCCCAAGGCAATACAGCCCGGCACGAACAGAACCCTGGTCCAGGCAGACTACAACACAGATCTGGAAACACTTCATCATTCGCTTGCCTCGAAACTTGCAGAGACATCACTAAACTTCCTCGTCCAGGTCCAGAACGTGGCCGAAGATATCGAGCCGAAGAACGCGAATCCCTCGTGGATCCCACAGTGGCACATCAACAAACCGGACGCGCCGACTGCCTTTTGGGAAGCTTGGGACGCCGGTCTTCTTGCACCGACGTCCCCGACAACAAAACATGTTGCGAGCGTGTCCGGCAACACGCTCAAGGCCTTAGCCTTGCTTTTCGACACGGTCGGGGCTCACACGCAAACCATGGGAAGGTCCAAGTTTGAGCATCCCGTTCATGTATGTGCAGCTTTGATAGAGGAGTGTTGGGACCTCGCCGCGTCCTGCAAAAACACCTACAGCGAGCATTTTCTGATTGCGCTCGCGTCTACCCTGAGGTGCTATAACAAGACCAAAAGAACGAGAGAGTCAGAGCTCCGCGATCTGGCGCACAGCATGTTGGACTATTGTGGAATCAACAAACCCGGAATGCTGAAGAGCAGACTAAAACGGGTCATCTATAACACCGAACCAGAGTTGTTCTCAAATAGGCATAGGTACGGCGACCTTTTCAAGGAATATGGGACGAACAGGAGGTTTTTCACTAGTGTTGGGGGTTACTTTGGACTTGGCCCTAGTTGCATGGAGCAAGGAGATGTCTGCGCCATTTTGTTTGGTGCCGATGTGCCGTTCATCCTTAGACCTACAGCAGTAGGTGGGACATTCAGATTAGTAGGACAGGCTTATATGCATGGTGTGATGTATGGCGAGGTGGTTAAGAAGTGGGATGCATCAGGTGTAGCATCCGGAAGAACAGACATCTGTCTTGTTTGAGATCACATGGTTGAAATGTGAACGGGAAGGCCTTTGGTCAGTGTACTCCTTGCCTAGGAATAGGTAATGTATTTCAAACGCAGAGGAAAGTATTTCCTTGAAACCGGAAAACAAAATGCTTTGAACAGGTACTTCACCCTCTCATAAACGGGGGTTGCCAAGCCGAGTCACCCAAACACCACAGCTCACTGCCTCAATAAAACCAAGATCCTCGCCTAAGAAAAGACAAGAATAACAGTGATAGGAGGAAATCGCTTGACCTCTTGATTAGGGACCTGTCCCGCTAAACAATGGGTGGCGTAACATTTTCGGCATAAAAAGATGAGGGAAGGCTCAACACCTTCTAGCCTGAACATCACTAGTAGAGGAACGATGAGCAGCAAAATGCAGACCGAAGTCGATGGTTCTCATAACTTCCAAGTTTGGTTCCCGCCCGACTCGTCTGTACCGACCCGTCTTGTTATGAGCTTGTCCGGTGAGGAGAGATGAGTTCCGGGTATCAAGATCAATCATCAGTTCGTCCTGCAACACCACGCGTTTCCCGCCCCGAGCATCAACAAACACAGTCTTATCATTATTCTACCGCGGTCACATCGAAGAAGAGATGGAAAAATGAAAACGGACCGTTCGGCCCGGGCGGTTGGGGGAGGGGAGGTGACAAACAAGAACATCAGGCACTGTTAGTGGTGACGTTGAACCATGTCGTCCGAGCATCAACCAGTGCTGTACTTGCTCACTCACACCAGCGGGAGATCGTCGCCCACTTGGCCCGAGCCCCCCCCCCGGCAGCCCAAAAAGCTCCGACTGCCGACGGGGCCACCACAGTCTGACTGGATAAGCCCCGTCGCAGCACGGTACTTTGGCATCCACATCCCACGTGGCCGGAGTAATTAAACACTCAGCATGGTCTTTCGCTATTGTATTCCAGAACGCATATCGGGAATTCTCCCCGGTCTTGTGCTCCTTTGCGGGGCTACTACTCGGAATCGACATGTGATGTCAGAGTGAGTACTGGCCCGCCCTCGAGCCAGGGCACAAAACCAAACCTCGGAACCGCAGCAAACACACATCACATAGCGCGAGTGAAATGTAGAGTAGACAGACGCTGGCGGACGCGAGATGAGATACTATTCCAAATCTAAGGAGAACCCATCCTGGAAACAAAAGGTAGGTTCCTGCAGGTTGGAACGGTGTCGTATGGTATGTGACAATGCGCAACAAGTAGAAAACCGCCGTCAGGGGGATGTAACATAGAGAACCAGAGTCTAGGCAGTCAAATCCTGCCCGAGTCCCGAGTCTCAACCCCCCTGATCATTAACAAAAGAAGAATGTTTTGCTCGTCATGCCTCGTCCTCCACTCTCATAGCACCTGCTGCCGGCGTCTCGCTCCTGCCGTCCCTTTTGTTCGTGATAGGTATAAATAAAAGATGATGTCCCCACCTCAGACAACCCGCTCAGAGCTCTCGCCCTCGGCAATAATGGCTACGCCCAGGCCCCGGTCGGGACTCTGGAGCACGAGTTGCTCATGTCTCCTGGCCCTCAGGTAATCACTGACAGACCTAATGAGGATAAACCACCCGACAATCATCAGTATATACGCAACCCATTCTGAGCTCGCCACGTCGGAGATGCCGCCCGAGCCGCTGCCGCTTCCACCACTGCCGCCTGCTACGCTGCCAGGGTCAAAGTCGTGAGAGTTTGGATCCGGCGGGCTCGCGTAGCCGCTATCGCCTGCCCCGTCGTCGCCGCCCATACCGCCTGCCCCTGACCCGCCGGATCCTTTCATGTAGAAGCCGTATTGGATGAGGGTAATTCCCAGGCCCGCCCGGGACCCGTTCTTGGCGGCGTGGGTCGAGTGCAGCAGGTACGTGAGCAGGAAGCCGACCAGCTGGAAGGACATGGAGATCATGCCGTTCCACACAAACGAGAAGACAGAGCCCACGGGCATGCCGTCGATGTAAACGTCGTCGATACCACCCAGACCGGGGGCGAGGATGGTTGTTTCCCAGTATGGCGGTGCTGAGTCGGCTGCGGCTTGTTCGTATGTCTGTGTGACGCAAACAAAGGCGAGTTAGCAACTACTCTGTGGTGACACAACGTCAGGTGAGTGGTAGAAACGTACCGGAGGCTGCTCCTCCTTCTCCGTGCCCCCTCTCTCGGGCTTGGCGGTCAGGTTGGAGAAGACGCCCTCATTCTGGATGCCGCTGCCAAAGATCCGGTTGGAACTAGTTGCTGTCGCCGATGGCTGATGCCGTGGGGGCTGTGGGGGCGGCGAGCTTGCGCTGGAACCGACTGGAGAGTAGGGGGCTGAGCTGGAGGCAGGCTGAACGGGGTCTGTGTTCTGCCTCACGAGGCGCTGGCGGTCGTCGGGCTCGTCATCGCTGTCGGACTCGTCGGCGTCGAAGGCGTCGGCGAGGGTTGGATCCTGGACTGTCCGATTGCGGGGAGCGACGGATGAGGCTCTGGAGTGGAATGACGGAGGAGGGGAGTTTGGCAGGGCCGAGCGGGGTGTCCTGGCTGCTGCGATGGGGGAAGGGCCATCCTCCTCGTCTTGGGCGTTAACCTGTCGATCAAGCGGTGGTCAGTGCATGTCCGATGAGGTTGTGATGATTGTCTCTTGATGGTGTTGGTTGCTTACCCGTTCGTATCGGCCCGACATGTTGCCGGTCGATTAATTCGAGGAAAGTACAAGGAAAGAAGAGTAGACGGGTATGTTGAAGTTGGTGAAAGGATGCGTCGATGGATTCGTCACGGATGAGGGTGTCTCAAGTCGCCACGGGAGTGCGGATGCTCGGGGAAGACAATGGCGTCTTGCCGGGAGTGGAGGGTTGGTTGGTTGGATCAGGCAGACGATGCGAGGGGATCAGACGCTTGGCGCAGTGGACGGATGCTGGAACGCAGGACAAGTAGGCAGTGGAAATGCAAGCCGAGTTGGTCGTCGCCGGAGGAAAGTAAACAAAGAGCAAGGAGAATGGAGAGAAAAAAGGAGGGAATTTAGGGAAGGATCGTCGTCGTCGTCAATATTGTCGATGGGGTCGGGGTGATGATTGGAATTGGAACTGGAACAGAATGGAATGTCGCCAGTCTAGGTCTAGACGGGGTAACAGCAGGTGGGAAAAGGAGGGAGCAGGATAGAGCAACAGAGGAGGTGATGGATTGATTAGGGATCGGGTCGGGGTCGGGTCAGGTCAGGCTGGGCTGGGGCTGGACTCGCGGCAGGGAAAGGGAAGGAAAAGGAAAGGATGATCAATCAGGGGCCACGGCCTAGGTACTAACTGTAACAGCAGGCCCTGGCCTTGTGATGTCCACCTGCAGTAATGCCAGCCGTTGCTGGTGACTTCGGCTGCTGACCAACAACAGAAGGGACCGCCCCAAGCCATCGCTCATGCGCCATTCCGCCTGCAAACCTGCTCAGCCACGCAAGCCGCCTGCCCCATTTGACAGCCTGAGAGGACGCTGAGCGGAGGCAGAGCCAGAGACAGGACCCCTGCCCTTCCCCATACAATGATCCCCTGTGCCAAGGGACCTCCCCTTTCCCCCTGCCAACCTGTCCGGCCTAAGCCCGAAGCAGGCAGGTCTCGGCGGCACTAAACCGGGCCAATGACAGCCCCAGCGCATTTTCGCCCGCGCCCAGATTTTCGGGAAGCTGTATGTCTGTCGGTCATTGACTGACGTCTTCGAAGAACTGACGTCTTTGAGGATCGTGTCGAAATAAATGTTCGACGCCAGCCCAGCAATCGTTCGATGGCCAGATCATAACGTCGAAAACTTAGCTTGTCTGACCAGCGTGACCGTCAAAATGGCAAGCAAAGAGGCAAGCATCACTCTCCCACTCCCCATTCGTTTTGTCCCATCCTCAGTCCCAGGACAGCGAGTATCAGAACCGTAACCACCACCACCGCTCCTCAAACAAGAATCAACTAACACGTAATAGGCCCTCCGGCGCACATACACAGCCGCCCTAACTCACTGGCCAAAGGACCCCCTCCGCCCGACCTGCCAGCTCCAGGACGTCCTCTCGAAGCGCTTGTCCGAGTCCAACAAGTTCCCCGGCAGCGATAAAAACCCGGCAGCCCAAGTTAACGCCTTCGTCTCCCTCCTGGGAAACAGGTACCTGAAGAAGTACCCGACCTCCCCGGCCCCCGAGTCCGCCACGGGAGGGATGCTCTCCCCGCGGAGCAACCCGACCTACTACGAGGACCTGATGCGGGACCTGGACGCGGCGCCGACGAGGTCGTGGGCCGAGAGGGTTGGGTTGAGGTTGAAGGGGATGTTTAGGTGGCAGTGATGGCGGGAAACGGAAGATAAAATCCGAAGAAAAAGGGTCATGGCTTATGAAGGAGGAGGCAACGACGGGGCTGGTCGTCTCTGCCTGGTCTGGGCGTGACTCAAGAGGTACAGACAGACATTGGTCGCCAGTTCGTCCCTCGCGCTGATGGGTACGCCGCTATCGTGGTGGCATGGGCGTTGATACAGGATGCCCCCCTTCCCTGGTGTAGCAAGTTTGCTTACTGGGCTCATCCACGATGAGACCTCGGGGGAGGGATCGCCTTGGGCTCCAGCAATGACGCATGCCGTGGTGCTGATGATAGAATTTCAGCCTGCAAGTCTCAAGACGAGAAGGAAAGGGGGAAATCCCCAGGAACGCATGCAACTGGCGGAGCGTGGTAGCACGTACGTAGATTATACGTCTCTATCCAGAAGCTGTGCGATGAGACTGCATTCACTTATGGCTATCTCCCCCTCCCCCCCTCCCTCGGTCCTGCGCCCGCGCCAACTCGTCCCCTCCTTATAAGTAGGCAAATCCATCCAACTTTCACCTCCCGAGCAAACTGGCCAGGAGATGTCTATAGTGCAGCTGTTTCAGGCTCGACCTTCAATTGGTTGACCCCCTTCATCCCCCTCGACTCGAGGACAGGGCTACGGTATGTGATAGCATCTCAAAGGTTGCATGTTTAAGACATGTACCTTCTGCTCCTTTTTTCTTTTTTTGTTCTCTTTTTTGTTCCCCTTCCCTCTGATCTATGTCCTGTACATGAACGGGCCTCGTCTGCTAGCGTACCGTACTATGCTACAGAAGCACGTCCAACAAAACCTCATATTTCGCATCATCATCTACAGCCACCGTTGCGAGGTCTATGTGTGCCATCTAACACCATCTCCTGTCCCTGCCCACCACGTCATGTGATGCCGCCCCACCTCAGATATACTTCCTCTCTGGATCAACCCGATCAAAAGCCTCCATGCTCTTCTCATACATAGTAAACACGATAGCCCCGCTCATAACCAACCTCGCCAGGCGAGGGAGGACCCCACTCCAGAACGTGAGCAGCCCCTCCTGTCGGAAGATCATCCCAGCACACCTGAAACTATTCCCATAGTCCTTCTTCGCCTCGAGGCTCTGCATCCGCGTCTTGATCGTGTCCAGCGGCTGCGTGACGAGCACCGTGATCAGCCCGGCCATGGCGCCTATACCAAATGTCGCGGGCGTGGACAGCTTCTCGCCCGGGGCCGCGTACGACTGCGCCGCCTGTTTGAGGAAGTTGTAGCTGCCGAACCGCACCGCGCTGTTGGCCGCCTGCCGCGCCGTCGTCGGCACGAACCCGGCGAAGAAGCCCGCGATGCCGCGCTCCCGCGCGATGATGGGTACTGCGTGCAGGAAGCCGCGCATCCTGGGGTTGGCGCGCTTGCGGTCGTCGATCCTGTCCGGGTTGGCTTGTCAGTGGTGGTGGTGCTTGCTGGGTCCGTCTTTGCTGTGGTAGTATGCATGTCTGCCTGTATGTGTGCACCAGGGAAGTGGAGAGCAAGAGAAAGGGGGCAGGAGTGCTGGGAAAGATAGACATACAGCTGCGTCTTGATGCTCTCGGTCGGTGTGACAGCCAACAGACTCTCTGTAACACCAGCCGCAAAGCCCGCCAGCGCCGCGCGAGGGCCCGACACCTTGCCGTCGGCGTCGGCGAGCAGCCGCTTGTACTGGTCGAAGGCGACAAATCCTAAAAGTGTTCATCGCGCCGTCGTTAGCCCAGGACATTCTCCATTCAACGGCTTCCAAGCATGGGTTGATGGATGCGCCCATCGACACAACGGGGTAAGAACATAGCAGGAAGAACGTACGGATCCCAGCCTTGGCGGAGTTTCCAATTATGAGCGTCGTGCACCCGGCGTACCACTGCGGCCCGAACGGTGGCCATGGCAGCTTCTTGCCCTCGGCCAGCCGGCGGTTCAGTTGTGTTCTTGTCTTGGCGACTGTAGCCAGCAGCGGGAGGGCCGTCTCGTCAGCATTGGTTCCCCATCGCATGTTGCCTGAATTGTATCACATGTTCACATCTAGCCCCTCCACCGGCTACGGGACAGTATGGATCGGTGGATGGAGCTTGTGCTTGGAGAGGAAGGTTCACGATTGGAGGGATGGACGCGGCGTACACTCGGCAGGATATGTGATTGCTATCAACAAAGGCCAGTCAGTGAGCTAGTCCGTTACAGTTTCTCTGTCCACTCAAGCCGGAAGAACGAACAAATCTCAATGCCACCAGCCAGACTCCCCGCCAGGATCGACCGCAGCGGACTGGGGGGCGGCAGCTTCCTCTCCCCGGCGGCAGGGGAGTCTGTCTTGGCCACCGGCGCCGTGGCCGCAGCTACCGAAGCCATGTTGGTTCAACTCGGATGTCACCCGGTTGTCACCGTTGGTCGACCGATCGCTTGCCTGCCGAATGGCGGGTGCTCAGTCGCGTCGATCGGGCGCGGGCGCGCAGCCGAGGATCGAGCGTGGGGTCCCTGTTCCCAGATGAACGTGACAAGCAGGCCAGCTTAGACGCGCTTGAACTTGTAGAGAGGACGCAACTCGGAGTTCGGCGGCGCGGCAGTCAATCGCTCGGATCTACCGTCACAAGACGGGGTTGTGGAAAGGTAAGGAACGGGCGTGCTACAGAGAGGGCAGAAAAAAAACGGCAGTAAAGTTTCCTGCGTCATCCCCAACCTGAGCTCGAGCTATTCTCGGCCGATAGCGGGGCCTGCGCATGTACAGACACCGAGGTGCAAAGCTGCCGGCGTCGGTGCCGAGGGATGTCAGCCAAACTTAATCGATGTTTGGACGAACATTTGTCTATAAGTGGCGCGTGCTTAAGGGGAATCCCTAAAATCCTGGGACTTGTCTAAAGAGCTCTCTGTGCTATTCAAACTAGGCTTCAGTATCCTTACGCCGGACCAAGGGCAAGAAAGACATGGACAAAAGTCTACGAGCAGTTGCGTTTACGGCCATGGTCACGGTTCAGTCACACATACTCATCATAGTATCCAGGACAAGAAAATCATCGCAAAGGCCCAACGGCCAAATCCTCTCATATTCATAACTAACCTCCCCAGAGAAAGGCTGCCTCCCCCCTCAAAAAAGGACTGAAAGAGCCCAAGTGTCAACAACCAAGGCCCAAAAGACCGCCCCCAAAAGGGATGGATGGGGTCTGGTTTCTCCATCCAAGAATCAGGATGCCTACAGCAGAGTGAGCAGATCAAACCACGCCAGGACTGGCAAACCCAACGGAACAGGATGATAGCCTGGCCAGTGCAATGACCCTCCAATAACTAGTAACGGGGGATAAAAGGCAAGAAAACGCCAACATGCCATGAATGTGGTGAGTGGGAAAGCAGACCGACCAGTGGGATATGAGAATAAAGGCCAACAAGCAAAACAAACAAACCAAAAAGCCAGAGAACCAGGTAAATCGTACTAGACACTTTTCATGTTCTATGTGTGAGAGCGTACGTGGACAGGAATCCAAGCCAGAGATGGACGTAGACATTGGAAGAAAACAAGAAAATCATGTAGGGTGGATGGATGCCTAAATGCCATCATCCATCCCACGCAGCTCGGGCGGGAAGAAACCCCCGCAGTCTCTCCAAGAAAAATGAACAGCAGTTCTCGCGCTGTGCGGCTCAGTACAATTGTTGTTGCCCTCAGCCCATGTGGTCGGTAGGTAGGTTGGTGGATATCGACAAGGTATTAGCGATAGGTAGAGTTAGGATGTGCAGTGCGTTGCGTGTTTTCGCGTCTGGGTAGTTGTGTGTCCCGCCCCAGCCAAAAAGGAAACGAGAGAGAAAGAAGAAACCATCAGAAACGCCCAGGACCGTGCCAGACCGTCCGGTCATTCCCCAATCCGTTCCCTGGTGTATCATGTCGTTCTTTTTTTCCAATCTTCATACCAGACTTTTTGCGCTCCGTTTTTGTTTTCGCCAGTTGGACTTTCCTTCCTTCCTGGTTTCGACATCGGGTCCCCTGGCCACAATTCTCCCTACCTGGTGTTTTGAGATTTTCTCCACCAGGACACGGCGGGCATGCTACACGTATACCTGATCATCAGGTTCCGCCGGGAGATCCCTGGGTTTGAGACAGCTTTGACTTGGAGTCATCAGAAAGTAGCCCAGTTGGTGCCTTGGGCTTCATTGTGAGATTCCTCAAGCACCACGGTCGTCCAATTCATGGTTCGTACGATTCGTCATCCCCTCGCCGGCGTCGTGCGCCGCTGAGAAAGCGTCGAGTCGAAGCAAATCGAAAGGCCCATAGGTGATAGACATAAGCCCTGGCCGTCCCCCGTCATGTCGTGTCTCATCAAGCCACGAGGCGTCGTGGCATCGCCATTTGTTGAGCATCCACAGCAGACACGGCTTGTTCAGCGGGTCTCGACGGCGGAGCTCTTGTTGCCAGCGGGAGTCTTGCCCGTGGCCGTAGCAGCATAGCTCCAGCCACCTCCTCCGCCCAGGCCGAACCCACCCGACATGCGTTTCCTCGCCTTCTGCCCGTCATCGTCGTCTTCCATGCTGAACACGAAGCTCGGGTCCTCCTCGTCGATCGGAGTCGTGAACCTGCCGTTAGCGCTGGAACCAATCGACCCGCTGCTGATGTGCCTCTCGAGCGCCCTCTGGTCCCTCTCGTTCCTGCCGTTTGAGGACCCGATTACGCCTGCGCCGGTGTGCGCCCCCACGCCACTCGGTTGCCTCGTGTTCGCCGCGCTGCCGGGGTGGAGGTGCGGACTGGACGACAAACTCGTGGTCCTCTCGTCGTTGATCCTCGTGTTCTGGATCTGCTGCGTCAGGGCCGAAAGACTATCAGCGCCACCGCTAGCGGTCCGGCTCCCGGAGAGGCTAGGCCTGCTGCTGTTGCCGTTCAGTCCGCCGATCATGTCGATGCCATTGGCAAGGCTCGAGTTGCGCAGAGGGCTGCCAACGTGGCCAAACGCGCCGGCGCTCTTCAGGCTCCTGCCGAGCGCGGACTGTCCACCATCCTCCTCCTTTTGCCGCTGGAACAGTGGTCCCCACCGGCTGGGACTGGATGCGCCGATCGGGCTGCCGTATTTCGAGGCCGAGTTCTCGCCCGAGTGCTGTTCGGAACCTCCCTCGACCACCCTAACACTACCCCTGCGGGCCTTCTCCGCAGGCGTGAGCAGGTCGTTGGCCAGCTCGCCGGGCACGTAGTCTTCCTCAAGAAACAGGAAATTATCCTCCCAGTCACGGTCGACCTTGGGCACGCTGGCGCTGAGGTGCCTCGGCTTCGCGTATTTGCCCGAGCTGCTGTGCATGGCGCGCCTGCCGTAAAATTCCTCGCCGATGGGCTGCATGGGCGGACTGCTCCCCATGGCATCGACGTCCCCGCCAAGGTGGCTGGGCGACAGGTGCTCGTTGGACCCAAAGGCGGACGTGTGCAACATCTTGAGGGTCTCGGATGTCCGGCTGTCCTTGGCGTTGCTGAGCGACGGGGTCGGGGACTCGAGTCCGAACTTATTAGGGACGGAGGCGGGCCAGGGGCCGTAGCGCGCGGCGTGGGAGATGCCGTTACTGTCGAAGGAGGCAGGCAGAGGAGCGTCGAGGACGGAGAGTCCTTTGTTCGCTGCAATGGGGGACAGGCCAAACCCCGTGCGGATGGCGTCCTCGCCGCCGTGTGGTGAGCCGTAGGGTGAGGCGGGCCCGCTGTACTGTGTGTCTATAGTAGGCAGGCCATTGTCCAAGCTCGTCTGTCTTCCGAGGACGTGGCCATAACGATCGTCTGATGTGGCAGCCGTGTACGTCGTGTATGGAGGGGCAGCTTCGGCGCGCATGAAGGAGGTGGTGAGGGCCGAGTTAGAGGCCTGGTGGCCGTAGGCGAGAGGGTTCAGGCGGCTGCCGAAGTTGAGGGGCGTGACGGTGACGCCATTCTTGCCATAGTTGACACGCCTTCCATCGGGAAGAACGTGGATGTTTGCACACTTCGGACCGAATTTACAGTTTCCCTGTGATCAGCATGTCAGTGTGCTGCCGTGTGCTGTATGTATGGACGTGAGAAAATCCGCCGCTCCACCGCAGGGACTGGCATTCGATATTAAAAAAATGCGACGGAGAGAGAGGTGGTCCAACCTTTGCAAAGTACTTGCAGACATTCTCGGCCGATGCTCCCAGGTCGTGGCTGAAGGGGCATGCGGCGCCTGCTTGACATGCACCCTGGCGGAAGAATTTGCAGGGCACGTGTGAGGTGTCTACAGACAGAGCAGATTGAGTCAGCGAAAAGTCAATTGAAGGCCAGGGCGCAAATTTCTGCGGGCAATTGGGACCGAGATGGCACGATGTGTCGACCTTTCGAGGGTGGGCAGGATGTGCGCAGGGTCAAGTAGGTAGTAGTAGACATTGATGATGGCACAGAGTGTGTAGGAGGGACGGGAGGGACGTTGCATCGAGCAGGGCCCGCCCGTGTTGGAGCAGCAATTGACTTGCGGCAAGGCCAAGGGACCCTGTCTTATGATGCAGAAAAGAACTCGAAGATGCTCGACAGAGCGACAAAGAGGAAGAGGGGGCATTGCATAGTAAAGAGAATCGGTACTGACTTGGAGGACTCCTCGGGCCGTCGAAGCCAGCCTGAGAGCCGCCCCCGGCACCACCACCACTTGCACCCCCGCCAGGACCAGGACCACCAGCAGAGCCGCGTGATGGGCCTGGGCCAGCGGCGATCGCGTTTATTGAAGGCATAGCGGTTGGGGTCGAGGCATGCGAGCCGCTGTGGGCGTGGCTGTGGATGTTGCTGCTGCTGCTTCTGCCGCTGGTGGGGTTGTTCGGGAGGGAGTTTGCGATGCTGAGGCTGCCCGATCGGCGGTGGTGATGGTCGGGCAGGTTCGGCATACGCCTCAGCTTGTGCTGGTGGGAGTTGGAGTGAGGAGGAGGAGGAATGGCGCCGAGGGTGGGAGGAGGGTGGGAGAGGGAGTGCGAGTGGTTGGCGTGGGCGTGAAGCTGGGCCTGGTTGTGGGCGAGAGCCAGACCGTTTGGGCGAGAAGACGGGGTCGAGGACGAGGTCGGCGACGAGTTCTGGGTTTGATTATGGTTCTGGCTTTGATTCTGGTGGTTCGGAGTCGAGGTCAAGTTGTTAGAGCTCGAGTTCGTCGAAATCAGGGCCGAGGTCGACACGGAGGGAGAGGCCAGGTTCAGGTTCAGGCTGCTCAGGCTGCTGTTGTTGGTCAGGCCCAAGTGCAGGTTTGGGTTTGAGCGCGAGTGCGAGTGCGACGGGGACGACGCCGAGGCCGAATAGTGGGTATTGACGGCCTGCACCGCGTTGAGGTGCTGCAGGTCCCTGGGCAGGTTGTCCTGGGACGAGAGGGGCGACGGCCTCAACTGTGAGCCGTGGTGGTTGTTATTGGTGGTGGAATTGGTATTGGGATTGGGAGTGATATTGTTGTTGTGGTGGTGCAGGGTCTGAGTGTGGGCGAGGGGATTGGCATAAGATTGTCCAGCATAGCCGTGGCCGTGGCCATGAGCCTGATGCTGTTGGTGGTGTGCCGACATGGAGTGCCCCGCGCTCGACAGCATTCTGGGCGGGCCTGTTCTGGTGGGGCCTGGGCCTCGAGAAAGCCTGCGGGCCTGCTAAACAAAGAAGACGCCTCCAGGCGGTGAGTGGTGGGCGGATCGGACCTGAGGGGTCAGGCAGGCCAGGGGTGGGTGCAATGCCTGCCTGGACTGCTGCACCGCACTGCTGCACAGCTTGCAGCGTTTGGCTGCACCGTTTGGCCTTGGATACCTAGGTAGGCAAGGTAAGTCTAGGTGCAGGCTGGTGAGGGGTCAATGGCTTGCTGGCGGCTCCTCCCTCTTATCGCTCGCCCTGGCGCAGACCAGACGGAGCTGATAACGGTCGGATCTGGCGGATACGGAACTGACTGGCTGGTGGCTGGCTGGCTCATGCAACCGAGGACGAGGGATCCCCTTGGTGAGGTGGATGATGTGATTGATGATCGATCCGGCGCCACACACACCAAACAAAGACGATAGACAGACAGCCTCGCTACTCGACGAATACGTCAACCCGCACACAGCATCCAGGATGATGAATAGGCGGATCAATCAATCAATCAATCAATCGATGGTTTTGCTCCACCCTGCAGGAGAACTGCCGAGCAGCTGCGTGGTTCGTCGTGGCGGTATTGGTCTTGGATCCAGTCCTGGAATCGTCAAAGTGGAGCACAAGAATGGCGATATCTTTTCTCCCTCTCACGCTCCTTCTCACTTTCTCCAAGCCTCTCAACTCCTCTCTCTCGGTCTCACTCAGACACTCCCTGACTTGCGTTGCTTCTTCTCTCGGTTCGACCCGTTGGACAATTTTTCGGTTGGTTGTTGCTGAAGAATAAGGAAGCCGGGGTCCAGAAGGGGCAAAAGGTGACCTCGAAGTGCAGATAGGGAGAAAGCTTGGTAGTCCCCAATATGTGGTTGCGTCCCCTTCTTTTGTTATGTTGTTCTTGCTGCTTCGGTTTAGTTTCCCGGGATAGAACTTCCACAGCCCTTCCTTTTCTTCCTTGGCCGCGTCTCTTGTCTTTGTTACTCTCTCACTTTCTCTTTTTCTTGCTATTTCCCCTTTCCCTGCTTTTTCTTTTCTCCCCTCCGTTATTCCCGTTCTGGGAATGCCGCGACTCTTGATCGTCTCACCAATGTCGAGTCCAGTCTTTTTCCCAGCTCGGACCAGCAGCGTGCCGACAGCTTGGATCTGGGGGGTGGAATTGGCCGTCAGTTATAGTGGGGACCCAGGGGTTTGGAGGGGCCGGTTGGCCGTCTTGGTTTGGCGGGAGACGCACGGCTCCCTTCCTTGGTGTCGGGTTCTGGCGGTTGGTGACGATAGACCGTTGGCAGGAAAACAAGGTTCCCACCAGCTGTCAGACAGCTTGGGGAAAACTCACTGAGAAAGGGAAAAGAACCACTTACACGGCTAGGCTACACGGTGGAATATCCAACAGCTAAATGGCTGCAGGAACTCCAAGACGTGGATGGGTGAGTGTGAGTGAGTGAGGGAAGCAGGCGAGGTGAGGTTCAATGATATCAATCAACTCGATGGATCCGACCGGCAAAACGCGGATGAAAGAGTGCAGTTCCACCTTGTGTGTCCAGGTCCAGAAAGGTGCCGGTGTCGTAAGGGTGGGCGATCTGCAGCTTATTATTTAGTACGGTAGGGGGTTGGGATGCGATGTTCTCTCTCACGCACTCTTGCCTCACTCACGGTCTCCTGGTCTGCCACCACCCTTCATGCGTTCATACGCAGTGGCGCGCCTCTTCTTGTTCTTCTCTCGTTATTACTCCTCCAACCCCAGCTTCACCCTTCTTCCCTGCCTTGCCACCCCTGTTTTCTTCTTTCGGACCCTTCCACCCTCTTATTTTCACCTGCACCTCCCTCCCACTTGTAGCCACGGGGGTGGGCTCAAAAGAAGTGCGGTTCCACAAGGTTCCCGTCTGGCTGTCTATCTGTCTGCCCTGTCTGTTTGTGGCTTCTCTGTCCGTCCCGCTCGGGAGTTGTGAGCGTGTGGTGTGTGTGCTTATGCGTACGTGTGGTGTGCACGCGTGTGTGTGTGATCAAGTGCGATTTTCTGCAAGATCCCAGGGACTTAGCGTAACAGAGTGCCCGGGACGTGACAGGGTGACCGTTGCTCCTGCGCCGTAGAACCAGGGAGGGACCAAATTGATGGATAATGGATGATGATAGATGGCAACGCTCACACAACACACTTGTGAGAGAAGGTGCTCCCGGCAGGCAACGACGGGGGGTAGGGTTCGACAGATGAGGATCGGTCGAGTGTCAATGTCCAATGTTGAATGTTTGAGAGAAGGTAGGGCGGATGGAAGGCTGCTTGACTCGCCTGGTCCTTGTGGATATAAACCGTTCCGGCAAGGCACCGGGGTCCGTGTCGGTCCTTGCCTCGCTTGTCTCCCTCTAGCTGTGTCTCTGGGCTGGTGGCCTTGGTCGATCGAGGACCCGCGCGGCGGAGCGCGGCCTGCTGCTCATCACCAAAAGTCACCCACCCAGTCACTCAGTCCGCTCCTTCGGGAAGTCAGGGAACGTAGACGGAGAGTACCAACAGGGTGCTGATGGAGGTGGTGTGTGTGGGGGTCTCGCACGGCAAATGTCTCGTGCATGTGGATGGGGATGTGGCCATGATTTGTTTTGCCGTCTATACCTCGAGCACCTTGGGCAGCTGACGACCCGCCCTGGACAAGGCGTACTTCGATGTACCCGCTACGAAGTGTACATACATGGGGGTTAAATTCATATTCACAGTACCTTCCCGCCATGGCAATCTTTGCTTGTCCTGGAGTGACCTCGCTGCCGCCGTCGCCCACACGAGACGACAGTGCCGGGGGTGGGGTCGGCGTGACCACGGAATCTCAAGACATTGCAAGACAGAAACAGAACCGGTGGCGGTATGTTTGCCCTGTTGGGCCCTCTCCCAGGTCCCAAGGCTGCCTGGCAACGGGCTGGGCCGCCGTCCAGAATTTGAGATGCTCAACTTCATTGGACAGTCCAGGTACTGCACGGTAAATCAGCAGTGGGTGCCATTTCAGTCATTGCATGCTTGTGCCTTGTGCGCATACGATGATACGATGCGCAAGCCTACCTCGTTATTTCCACCAAGGCGTACCTTAAGAAGACTGCCTGCCTTCGGGTCGAGGTCGATCAATGATGCTTGCTGATGGCAGGGGAGTGGAGTGGAGTGGAGGACCTTGTTGATAGATATGCGCCGGCATCTCTTGGCTGGCCAGGCCCTGTCCAGGCTGGCCAGGGCTCCCCGGCCATCCGTATTTCCTCATCCAGACAGCTGCAGATGATGAGGCAGGCCAGGCAGGCTGCAGGTTGGCCGTCCCAAGGTTCCTCAAACCGGGCAGGCAAGGCAGATGGAATTCGCCTCTTCCCAGCCGCCGTCCGCCGACCTGCCGCGCATCATATGTAAATTTCTCACAACTAGAGGCTCTGTGAGGCTTACGCCTTCGAATCCCATATGAGTAAGATGCGGCGCTGCCATGTTGTCTAGTGATTACCAGGCGTTCTAGGGCCGCCGCTAGAGGCTTTTTTTTATTCCGATGCCAACGACGAGGCGGGGAGGAAGAGGAGAGACACGGAGGCACGGAGGGAGCGGTGTGTATATTGAGGTCTAGGTCTAAGCCGTGAACGTGATCCAGGCGTTGAAGCCAGTTCCCACATTCCGTGTCAGTGACAGGCGGGAATTCCAATGTGTTGGGTCTGTGGCGGCCGCAGTTGGGGCTGGCTGGTCTCAATCAACCCGTTCCCGCGCCTGTCTCCGATCTGCAGACAGACATGCAGAGAGAGACATGCATTACAGGCGCACACAGACGCACACAGACGCGGTACAAGGGCACGGAGAGCATGCAGCAGGGTGGAGATGCAGATGCACTCACTACTTTGTACGCACATAATAACTGTATCACCTCTGGATCTGGCAGTCCAGCCCGGGCACGACGACGCCTTGCAGCTGCCGTGTCAGTCGGTATGCGTCCCCTTCCCGAGCGTCCAGAAGACCCCAGCTTGACTCTCGTTTGACGACATATGGCCTCATCCCACCAACGCCCACGTTCGTCTTACTGTGCTGAACCGACTGACTGACTCTCACGCGACACACGGGGGCAATCAAATCGGTAGTCTTCCGGGGTGGGCCTGACAAGAGGCGCACCTCTCGGACTAAAAGCTGCACCTCAGTTGCCCCCGATGCGAGGCTATCTCTTCAAGCACCCAGTGGCTTATCGGATATGCCGCCAAGAGACCGACCATTCAGGATCCCCAGGACGGCAATTACCAACAATCCGGGGTAAACGGCGCCCCGAGTTTCTGGTCTGGTTCACAATGCGTTTTGTCATGGAGTTGTCCACGCAAGGCCGCACCGGGAAAAGAAAAGTCTGGGCATGCTGGGCGCAGAGCTGCAAGCGTGGGGGTGGTACGGTACATCACGGTGCATCCGTCCCAAGGAAAATAATAGAAGCGGCGCCATGCAACATCCCGAATGACGGACTCGATTCGAGGTGGGAAAAAAAGCAAAGAGATGGGATACTTTCGGCCTGGAAACTCTGACTCGGGACGATGTGACCTTGGGCTCGCGTTCACCCACTGCCTGCCCCCAGGGACGGCCGCCAGCTCTGCCCATCGATAATAGCAGCGATGATATAGACGAATCCTGATGATGGGTGAATGATGCCAATACGTCCTGATCCGCCTCGGTGGGGCCATGTAGATATTCGTCGCGAGATCTGATCTGCAGAGGAAACGCGGGCTGCGCTGCCTGCACTCGCGCACACTCTCCATCTCCATGCATGCAGCGTTCAAGTGCGAAACTGAAACCGCAGGCTGCATGTCTCTCCGTGCTGCCTGTCTCATCAGTGCCCGGCGAGCAACAAGTTCTGGTTGGACGGCGGAACATTGAGGCCGCACCTGTCGTCATGATGGAGCTCCAGGCCCGGCAAGAGGTGTTCGGTATCGGATGCACTCGGCCGAGGGGCGGACGCGATATACCGACTGACTGTTGACCACCAGATCGTCCCTTCCC